CAGCATACCACATGAGGAGGCCTCATGAGGCCCAGATAAAACTATAATACAGGTAAATTGCACAAACTGCATTGCGAGAAGCATCACTTTATTAGAGGGCACTACGTGACTTCTTGGGTAACGGAAGAAGCGTTAAAAAAACAGTGTTTAGAGGTCTTGCAGATTTTTATTTATCTTTGCAATCGCGGTCTTCCGAAGTGGCCACGCTTTATTTTAAATTTCGGATTTCCGGGCCCATCTCCGAAGTGCTGATAGCTTCCCAAATTATTAATTTAGCCGTCCAATATTTAGAGCCATCAGTCGTAGCAAACTGCACACTTGTATTTATTTGTATTTTTTGAGATGTGTTCATCATGTGCAGGGACAGTATTGAAAAACGCTTGATTACTAGCAATAGGGGAAAAAATCGGCAAGGGAGGAAAGAGTTACATAATAAGGCGGTCGCGCAAAAGTTTTTCTAAAAGACGCGAATCGGCGGCGAATTTACGGATGCCCTCTGAGAGTTTATCGTTTGCCATTTCATCCTCATTAAGTTGCCAACGGAAGGTAGGCTCATCCAAATGAATCGGTTTTGTGTCAGGGCATTTTGAGGCAGCTACATAAAGATTGTACAAGTAAACTGTGTAAGAAGCTAAACAATGTTCGGTGCAAAGACCTAGAGAAATAACTTTATCAGGTTGCATAAATAGTGTAGCATTTGGCTTCAATATAACATCAGGGAGTACTAAATACTTACCTGTATCTTCCGATAGATAAACTTGGGGACTTTCATTCATAGAGGCAAGAGATTCCAGTAAACTTGGAGAAATAGTAAGAAGATCACATCCAGTAAGGCCAAGAATTTGTTCAACATTTCGAAAAGAAGCGCCCATCACCTAAACCAAATAAAAAGAGGATACATAAAGATTAATATGAAATAGCAGGTTGGTCAGAACTTATGCAAAGGCTCTGGTGAGGATGGCCCTTATATACGGACACCCCTTCCAATCTAAAATGGGTATAAGAAAGCCCCCAGTAAATTAGAAATTAAAATAACTCTTCAGAAAAACTGCATTTTGTGAGAAACTAAAGAGTAGAGGGAATCGAGCTTATTTATAGTATAAAGCTGTCGACAATCTACTGATATATAAGGCAGATGGAAAGGTAAACTGGGACGGAAAGGATACCTGAGTCTTGTATCCAAACTTTTTGTAGTAGTTATATATTTTTGTAACTGAAATAACCCCTGGGTCATCAAGACGTCCAAATTTTCTCACTCCTTTTTTCGCCAAATGCCAATCATAGATGCGACCGACGAATGGAGATATGAGTGTAACGCCGGCCTCTGCGCAAGCCACAGCCTTCAAGCAGTTATTAAAATGCTAGAGTTACTTGAGCAAAAGAAAAAAGTAAAGTCAGATTGCAGTGGACGCCATGCAAAGACTCCAATTCTTTCGCAGCTTGAATGCCTTCCCATGTTGAGCTCAATTTAATAAGAATCCGTTCTTTCGGAATACCATATTGATGGTATAAATTAATTAGATCTAAGGCTTTCATGACTTGAGCATCTTTATCAAATGAGAGTCTGGAAACTGTTATAGTTATTTTAGAAATACCTGGCATCAACTTCTGTGGAAACGCGACCAGGAATTATTTGCAGAATTTCTTTACCAAACATGACGAAGGTGTAATCTGCTGCAATTCTGATCTGCTCATTAAGATCACTGCAAATTAACACATGTGAACCACATTTAATACCTGGAAGCGGACTTTGCACGCTTTACAGCTTCATCCAGAATTGAAGAATACTGCGGCATTTTTGAGGCCGCCAATATTAGGGAGGGGTTAGTGGTGGCATCTACTGGGCAGTACTTTCGGATACCTTAAGCTATTATAAAAGCCATTTGTGAGAATATACTTTCAAAGTCTCCCGTGTCAGCAACGACCAACGTATGTTGCTTCACTATGTCCAAGGTACACGACATCTCCAAAATAAAATAAATATATGACGCGCCTTCAACCGGCAAATGGAGAGCTAATATTACCTTCGCCAACCAATCACACCACTGCTGTGGTTTGTTTTTGTCGCCGCAAGTAGAACTTGAGTCCAGGTTATATTTTTATGTATGAAAAATGTGCTTTAATTCCCCCTATGGAAAGAATATCTGGATTATCAAACTCGGTTCAAATCTGCGGGCGCTAAGAATTCGATGTTCGTTTCTAATAGGGTTTGCACGGGCATCTACCCAACAAAG